TCAACGTCAGTGGCTTGATTGATATCATTTAAATAATTAAATGATCTAATTGATTGAAATCATCCGTCATTTAAAATTAGACGAGTTTATAATCATGAATCAAATGAGTCTTGATCTAGAAAAGTGTAAAGAGGCAGTTTCAATATTTAAGACAATTTCAGTAATTTATTTAATCATGTTTTTTCAATTTGACCCATAACTCAAATAAAAGACGTAGTTGATTTTCTTGATACAATTAGAGGGGTGTAACCCAAAAATCAATTAAACTCGTGATTTGAATTATGGATAAAATAAGTATTTATTTAAAAGTCACGATCAAATAATTTATTGAAATTATCTTAAATGAATTTTTGTTCATTCGATCCATGATTTAAATTGATATATCATTTAATTTTGGGTACAATTAGAATGCCTTATTTTATATATAAACATGAATACAAAAAAACGTCAAATTGTTATAAAATTAATCTTAATATGTCAAATTGTTATAAAAATATAATCTTAATATTTTAATAATATGGGGCAATAAATCAAGGGAAAAACATGTGACTAGTATAGATGCATTGTACATGTTATGCTAAATTTTATATTTTTCTGTCTATTTTGTATTTATTTGGTGCCGAAATTATTTATGATTAAAATTGGGTCAGTGTTTAATACAAAATAAGCTGGATTATATTTTAATTATGTGATTAACCATTAGTATTAGTTTGTAAATAAAATAAAATAAAGCATATGCTTATATGATCCGAGAAAGTGACATGGATAACGAAAGGAAAGGAAGATTAGGTGACTGCAACTCAAAAAAAGTTAGCTGGAAAGCCAATTTTATGTGCTTCTCAAGATACTTCCTTCACAAGCAAAATAACTTTGAATTTTGACAACGTGAATAAAATAAATTAAGTTGAGAGGATCGTCTTTATATTAAGCTCCTACATTATATAATTTAAATTAATTGACTAATAAATTTAGTGAATACAATCAGATTCGATACAAAGTCGAGGCAACTTCATTTTGCATAATTTTGAAAGCTGAAAAAAAATATCACTCGCTGCTGCCAAATAATAATTAAAGCCAAGGTGAAGAGGGTGACACTGTTATCTGTAAAGAAGGGGAGCATTCAATTTGTATTTACCCTCAAATGCAGAAATGCATGCCAAGTTGCCTTCATGGGAACTCTATGAAACAAGTAAAACATCTTCAACTTTGATCCACACTATTTATTTGATCCACAATAATTTAGGTCAGATTTTATCATGTCTCAATTAATAGGTTCACGTATAGCTTAGACGACCGTCAAATTTTTAATGAAAAATTATGAGTTTGGAATATATGAATAATTGAGTGACCATATTTTAACTTTTAATAGTCGATAGACTCAAAAAATCAGCACCACATAATTGGGGGACCATTTGTATACTTTAGTCATATATTAAATTCGATGCTGAAATTTGATAGTTGAAAAAAGAAGACCCAAATCTAATGAATTTGCTTCATACATTACATGGTCCATGAAGATGGGTTTTGAGCCTACTCTTGACCCAATGAGAAAACTCAAAAGAGTACTGGACCTCATCTCCAACGACCTAATCATCTCATCCAAGCTTCAATCATTTGTGAGCCTTATTTTATGAGCACTGATCCCCCTCAAAAACTCTTAATCATTTAGGGTATAAAGTTTATTGCATACGTGATGTTCAAACTCAAGACCTCAACAAATAATAATAATCACAACAATCCCTTAACAACTGAGGTCCCTTGATCCGAATGGGCTATATATATATATATCATCAACAAATAATAACAATCACATCAATCCCTTAATTGAGATCACTTGGTTCGAATGAGCACTAAAATTTAATTAAAAATATATATTATTTTAAAATCAATAATATTAAATGAAAGAGAGACCCAGTCCTTAATACCAAGCAGCCCCAAAGACCCAGTCGTTCTTTGAATATTCTTCACACTTTAAATTAGAAAATTTTATTTATCATCATCTGGTGGAAGTCAACGATTTTATGTTTCTATAAGTACTAAGCTAAACCGCCAAAAATTCTCCATCATCATATTGCCTTGTGTTGCTCTCAATTATTTCCCATTTGAAAATTTTTGTTGCATAAATGGCATTGATACAGTCCCCCTCCAAGGCCAAATTGGTGGTAATCCTCTTATCCATCATGGTCCTCATGTCATCTTCCGTCGCTGCTACCGTCGTCGTTACCCCTCGAGACTTCATTCTCAAACCTTTGAGTCTTGGTTAGTTTATTATAGTCATGATTATTCATTCGTTATTTTACGATTTCGATTATATATAATTGATCGTAATAATAGCTGTTACGGAGTTCACGAAACATGTTTCCGGGACTATATATATAACCCTAAAGCACAAAGTAAGTAGTGTAGTAATGTTCTGATTAACAATATATGATGATGGTTTTTGTATGTAGGAAGAAGGTTTTTAGCAGGGTATTATAGCACTCCAAGCGCATATCAAGGACCAAGTGGAGGTGGAGGCTATCCATGCTGTAAATAAGAAGCGTCAATCTATAATGACAGAGTCAAGATCAAATATCAAGAAGAATCAAATTATTAAATTAAAAAAATATAACTTTTTTAAGTATTTAAGTTTACAGTAATCTAAGTTGTTATTAGGTTAAAAATTTAAGAAGGCACAAGCCCTTTCACTGCTTCTTTAGAGTTGATCAAGTTGAATCATAAATTTAAATTTAATTATGATGGTCAATTACGATAGACATCAATAACTAAAGGTGTTAAAATTTATAATATTACATTTTCATCCTTGAAAATAATTGAATAGCCTGTGTATTCAATGAATCATATCAAAGGCAGCATTGAGGTTAACCAGACAAATGCAGTTTTTTAATATGGAGGGTCAGTCTTGTTTCTATCTAAAAAGAATCTGAATTCTAGTAGGAGGCTATGTGGATATTGTTGTAGAAGAAATTAAGGGGTCCGAAAGCGTTGTTATCTCTAAAAAGTTCATAATCATTCTTAACCATTGATAATGCATGATTTGCTGATGTAGCTACTTAAACTCAGGATCTCAATGATGGATAACACTCCTTTTAACCACTGAGACCACTTAATGAGTTCATGAAAAAAAATGAGACAACAAATAAACAAAAGTGGCAGCTGCCAACTAAACACCCGTCACCAAAAACGAAAGCAAATATTAAATTTAGGTCCGTCCTAAAAGATATATAGGCCTTGTGATGCTTTTTAAAATGAGGTCTATAAAATATTTTATAATAAGAATTAATTTATCAAATTTAAAATTACGAGAGATTTACGAGATATTTTTTCCAAAAATTTGTTTTTTCTTCTAATGAAAATGTTGTTAGGACACAAAAATTAAACATAAACGGACATGAATGAACACTTTTTATGTGAGGCCCTAAGACATATCATAGACCGTACTTTCACATGAACGAACTTGATTGAAACCCAAAAAACAACAAAAGAATAGAAAAGAACAACCATATATGATCAAATGACGGAGTTTTGCATGCATTATATTAATCTAAGGTAGGATCTTACTCCATCGCCACATGATGATGACGAGGAGCAGGAGTTTTGCATGAAAGAGTATAGTATTAAATTGTAGTTATGATTATGGTATTGCAGTTACGTTTATTATAGTGTAATTTATTTTTAAAAATAATTATATTTTATGTTATAGATGTAGTTATGATATCGTCATAATCTTAAAAAGTATTAGGATACAATTTTTATAGTGATGAATATATTATTTGGAAAAAATTATCAACACAATGTTGGGTTTTATCTATATTATATTTTAGTTATTTTAAATTTGGTTGCCATACAATAAAACTACCCGTATACACCATTTAAGATGAGACCAAGAGAATTTTAGTCTGTATTTTTTTATTGTAACCGAGATATTGTGTCCTAAATTTACCAAGAGTAAATTATATTGTTCTTCACTAAACTATATTCTCTCTTCTATTTTTTCATTCAACTTTCAATTTTTTTAATTTGCTCGCTGAACTTTACAGATTGAATCATTTTGCTCACTCTACCGTTAACTATTTAACAGTGTTATGACATGGCACAAAAATGGTATAAGCATCAAAATGACGTCATTTTGATAAACTCAAACATATACCAAAACAACGTTGTTTCGAATCTATTATAAAATACTTTTTTTTTTCTTATTCATTTATTTAATTTTTTTCCTTTTCCTTCCCCATGTTTTCTCTCTACTTTGCAATCGGTTACCGTCGTCGACCACCATGTCATTTTCATTCCGGTCACCTTCCACCGTCGTTTATGGTGGCCGTTCGGTCCCAAATTTCGTGGGTCGATTCATCTCGACCCCCTGAGTCCGAATTTGGTTGTTTTATCTGAAATTGTCTCAAAATTCGTGAATTTAGACTGAAACTTTTCGACTTCCTCACTTTCAATATCAAATTCATGCGGATTTGGATTCACGGTGTCGAGGCGAAGTGACCCATAAAATTTAAGATCGAACGATCACCATTTACGGTGGTCGACGGTGGTCGGCAGTGACATATGACCACCTTCAGCTATTTTGTTATTTTATTAATTATTTTATATTTTAAAAAATAAAAAATGTCATTTCATCAAAATGTTAGAGAGATAATGAGGGAGTGAGCAAAATGATTCAATTTGTAAAATTCAGTGAGAAAATTAGAAAAATTGAAAGTTAGGTGAGGAAAATAGGAGAGAATTATAATTAAGTGAAGAACGGTGTAGTTTACCCATTTACCAAAGCAAGTTCATGTCACAGGGAACGACGTCGTTTAAGTGACATATCTATTAAAAAGTTTCCCATTTTATCTAACATAAAACACACGTGGCATCCAACGACAGCTTTCTAACCAGGTAACAATCCCCCCTCTCTCTCTTCAAGATCTTAACATCGAACTCTATATGTTCGCTTCAGATTCTTCAAGAAGCAAAAATATCAAAACCCAATATTCTCTTTTACTTCATTGTATTCAACAATTGGAGCAAAGAAGTGAAATGAACTCATATAAAGTTTAATTTTTTATTTTTAAAAAGTTTTTTTAACTATTGAAAAATGCAAATTTTATTTATTCATCACAGGCCACCAGTGATTTCAAGAGGGAAACTTCCCTTGTTGGTTCCTGTGGATTCATTGCCATCTTTTCACAGCATTTCAACAGCACCCACTTCTCCTTCATGTAAGTTCTCTCTATTCTTTCCCTTTTCTCTTTTTTCGAGGTAAATTTTACATCTTTTGTGATGAGATTCGTGAAAGGATTTAATTTTACTGCAGTAAGAACATTTTGGGTGGATTTGCTTTTATGATCTGAGTTGAGTTTAGGCTGCCTTTTATTGAATTGTTTGGGGTTTATGTGGTCTCTGTCTTGTACTGATTACAATGTATTGAGTTTCATGTACTTATCAAACATCTAAAGACTGTTATCCTACAAACCTGTGGTTTAGGTTAGCCGTTAGCCTCTTTATGCAGTCGCCCTTAAGAGGCGGTATCCGGCAAGTCCTTAAATCCGGGTTTTGATCTTAACATCTACGACCCGTTCTTCTATCTCATTTCGTCGCCTCCTTAAAGAAGATTGTGACCCTACTGTATAGGCTATAGTTTTATTGCATTGAACTTGGAACGCTCTTAGCAGTTTCCTTTTCATAACATTATGTCAGCCTAACGGTACCCTGTTTATCTGCCTGCTCTATATAGTTTGAATTGCTGTTCACTTATACTAAGCTTAGAAAGGTTTGTTTTTGTTCTTTATATGATGCATTAAATGTCTGCACTGGTTCTATTCCGGTTTATTTAGACGTGTAATCATTTGTTAACTTGTGGAACTTTTTTTCTAGTACAATGTAGAAAAATATCGAGATTGAGTTCAACGTGCAGCACATTCAGAACACGAGCATCCAATGTGGGTTTTGGATGCGGGGGCTATGATGAGAGGGAGGAAAAAGAGGACCATAAAAGTATTGCAAAGGGCCCAGGGAGTGACAGATCATCAGAAGAGTAAGTGATGTTCAATTAACAAAGACTTTTGATTCACATTCATCGAGTTAAAAAGAACCTACTGATTCTGAGTTAAAAATATGATCTTAGACTTCTTGTAACATGTATACTTCGCAGTGCTTGTAAGTTTATAATGAATTGAGATTCTAGTTTGATGTCTTATATATCATCTAAGTCTATGCTTTTTGATTGCATAGCTTGCTTTTAGCCTTTCTTGATGCAAAAATCTTTGATTATTTTGCAGGGTGAAGCCTCCGAGTCAAATTCCTTACCCTCTCTCCATTGCTTTTGTCCTATTGGGGTGTACTTTAGTGTTATCACTAATTGCCTTTGCAAAAGGTGGACCTTCATCACTCTTAGCAGCGATAGCGAAGTCGGGATTCACTGCTGCCTTTACATTAATATTTGTTTCCGAAATTGGAGACAAGGTAGCTTCTCTTATTCTTGATCCTTTATTCTCCTTGATTCAAACCATCATCAAACTTGTCTTCATCTACCACTTTTGATAGTTCTTCCCTTTTTCTTTATTGAGGAATCGGTAAGTTCTTCCGTTGGTGAGTTTATCGTGATACCGTCCATTTCAAGCCGTATGGCTCTCAGGCTTGAACTAGTGGATAATCCTAGTTAGAAGAAAAGGTTAACCGTGAATAATCTAGACGGCACATTTCACCGGTATCAAAGATTACATTACATTACATGTGTTTGTGCCTGCTTTACATTACATTGGATTCCTTATAAGCTGAGCACACCAGTGCTATGGTCCAATGTTTCGAAACATTCTGAGAATGATCCTAACTAATAATTGATTGATGCGGAAAGTTCATGTTGCAAATATTCATTTCTTTAGCTTTTGATTGTGCCTTTAGAAACCTAACGTGTTAAGTTATATTTGTCATTTCTTGACCAGACGTTTTTCATTGCCGCACTCTTGGCTATGCAATACGAGAAAGGACTGGTATGCTCTCTCCTAACTACTCAGCTACACTTGCCTTCATTATGTTCTTGCTCTTTATTCTAATTATTGTAGTTTTGAAATGAATATAGATTCTGTATTATGGCTTTACTCTGTATTTTCTCCAGCTCTTGGATTGATGAATACTTTTATTTTATCGGACTAAATATATTTTCTTAACATTTATTAAATCATCGGAAAGGTTCTGTTGGGGTCAATGGGTGCTCTTTCTCTTATGACAGTCTTGTCTGTAGTAATCGGACGGATCTTTCAGTCGGTCCCTGCTCAATTCCAAACCAGTAAGTTCCTACTCCTCGCATCTACCTTGTGTCGTCAAATGAATTTCTAATGAGATTTTCTGTTTCTCAATGATTTAAGAAATGTGACTATGAGCATATATGCCAACTTCCTTTATACTATACCTGTGATATTCATGCTATTTTACGTAATGAATTAAGTCCTATCCTTTGTTATGGTATTTCTATAGTAAAGTTTCTGATAAACACATCATGCTTTGATTTTTTCTGTAGCCTTGCCAATCGGAGAATATGCAGCAATAGCTCTTCTCGTATTCTTTGGCTTAAAGTCCATAAAAGATGCATGGGACCTTCCACCAGCAGTGGCAAAGAAAGGTACCGAGAGAGGTCCTGAACTTGACGAGTTTGTGGAAGCTGAGGAACTTGTGAAAGAACAGGTAATTGGTTGGTTTAACGTGTTTTATTTTATTAAAAGAAAAGGAGAAAAAAAGTTAATAGAGACTTAATTTTAATGCATTCAGGCATCAAAAAAGCTCACAAATCCACTTGAAATTGTCTGGAAGTCGTTCAGCCTTGTATTCTTCGCCGTAAGCATCTCGTTAACCTTTTTAAAAGCAACATTATTATCTATCTCCGAAACAAATAGCTGCTCTTTGTAGTTGTTTTCAATAATTCTCAATGTAAAACACTGCAATTGCTCCTAGGAATGGGGAGATCGTTCAATGCTTGCTACTATCGCACTCGGTGCTGCGCAGGTGCGACCCTGCTGACTCCATTTCTCATTATATACATACATATGTAAATTTGTATTAAATTTCTAATTCGCGATAGTTCAACGATTGTTGCTACCTTGTCTCTACAGTCACCATGGGGTGTGGCAAGCGGAGCCATTGCAGGACACCTACTTGCAACATCGATTGCAATTGTTGGAGGAGCCCTTCTTGCCAACTATATTTCTGAGAAACTGGTATGACCGGAAATCTTTATGGTTTGCTAGCACTACTAGTAGTATGATATATTCAGATACCTGTTTTTTGACTTAGCCATATGTTCGATCAGGTTGGTTATTTGGGTGGAGTGCTTTTTCTCATTTTTGCTGTGGCAACATTTTTTGGAGTTTTCTAATTGATTATACAGAGCGTATAGAGAAAGTCGGGCTAGTTTCCGGCACAATCGATGTGATACAATGCACCTGCTGGACATGAAATTTATCATTGCAGAAAACGATGAGGGAAAAATATGTTGCAGTGGGGTTATTAAGAGGCTGTCATGTTAGTTCTTTGAAGCATCTTTGGAACAATTGAAAGAAAAGGTTTATAATTAGATTTTTGTGTAGTTTTTAGATTATATTGGAGCGATAATTGACAAGTTTTTGCTACACAACATGTTTAATAAGATATGCAGTTATGTTGCGTTCTCTTCTCTTCTCGATATTCGATATGGAATTAATGTCTCTTTTCTTCTCGATGCGGAATTAATGTCGACTTTGACCTAGTCAAAAGTAAGAAAAGAGTGCTAAATATTGAAAATTTACAAAAATCAGAGCAAAACCATATAAGTGTAATCTCATCGTGTTAGGCATAAACACTGCATACTGAGCTGACAAACAAATTGTCAAGAGTAGAATAACAAATGAATTTTAGTCTACCTTACTACAATCATGGAACAACTGGATGGTTGATAAAAGATTAGTACCCCTTGCTTCCCCAATTTTCATGCATCTCTCACTGATCCACTAGATCGTTCATGATTCATCTAGACATTGCTTGGATTGATACCCATCATCCGATAGTAATTCGACAATGCGTTTTTCAAGCCTTCTTGCTCCTGGACCAGGTCTCAAGATATCAGCATCCCCCCAAACTGAACACGTGTCGTTGCCCTCACCTAAGCACCATCCACCTGGTACAACTCCACCAGGGCTGCGTTTCAGAATTTCTTGATCGATACGATCAAGTACAGGACTGTTAAATTGGAACTGTGTTGCAAATGCAGCTCCACTCTGAACCATAGCATCAAACTCTTCAGGCTTCATATGGGGAGGCTTCTTTGAAAAGGTTTTATTGAAGGCTACATACTGTAGGTCATGGTTTATCACAGTGTTCTTGAAGCGGTCGGAGTTACAAAGGATGGTAGGGAAATAATTGGAGAAGGAATAAGGCATATTGGCAAAATACATTAGCAAAGTCCTAGGAAGGTTGTCGGTACCAAGGATGCAGAAGTCAACGAAATGTCGAGTTAACATCTTAAATGATGAACCTGCAAAAGACCAGATCTCTAGCTTTATTTCACAAATTCCTTTGACAGTGTGCTTGGCAATGCAGGAAGAAAATTTTCTCAGCAAAACAAATGATTCATAATATCTTGCATGATTGCAACAGTTATATGTAGCAAACAAGGAAAATGATCCTCAGAGAGCTAATTGGCCATTAAAAAGTAATCGAATGGCATGATGGAAACTAACTCTTTGCATAACGAAGAAAGTGCAAATTAAATTCATACAAGAATAGTGAGATTCTGAACACATGCTGTTGTTCCCTCTCTTTTTTCTTTTCTTTTTAACCTAAATGCATTCGGTTGTATGGCCGACTGCCAAGTGCTAACTGCAATACAAATATATTTCACATCTGCTCCCCATAGTTAGCAACATCGGTTAACCTTAAACACTAGTAGGGGAAAAAAAAGAACAGGAAGTAACCAAAAGCTAATACAAACACATACCTGTAAACAACCTGAAAGCATTCGGCAATTCCCGCTTCTGAGTAGCATAAAATATCTCCTCCTTCTCCAAAAGATAAAACCCCGTATCGACAATTATCGGCTTCAATCTCTTGGACCTTAATTAGTGAAACCCCAGCAACGTAAAACTAATATCAGTCAACGTTCATCACGTTAAACCACATCAATTCACTAACAACAAAAAGAAATTGTTTAAGAAACACAGATGCAACTCGAAGTATAAATGTTGGAAATTCTTGTTGATTTTGCTATCAAGTTGCTGTTATAGGCAAAATCATAATTTGATTTTAAAAACAGAACAAATGACTGAACTAAAACACCAATTTCTAACAAAGAACCACATTGCTTTTGCATCCAAAAGTGCAATCTGCAAGAGTAATGAAATAGATATGACGTTAACATACTCTTTCCAGCCGATATAACTTGTATGATTCACGAAATTGATATCTTTCGGCAAGTAAGACAAAATGTGAAGAAGATCTGCAAAATTTAATAAATACCCAAAAAAGAAAATCAATCAAAAACACAAAACCCAGAGACTTAAACCCAAAGAGCAAGTTTGTAATTACCATCTTGAGTAGCAAGCGGGTAATCACAGGCTTTGAGAGAGATAAACCAATCCCAATTGGAAGCTAACCGTAGCAAAATGGAGGCACCGTGAAGAGTAGAAGAGATTGAGGATGGCCCTCTTGGGTAAGCATAATCTGCTTTCCCGATAACGTCGACGTTTTGAGCGGCTCTAAAAACGGGTACTGTTTGGATTGTTACGGCCAATCGGTCACGCTCCGTCTGCGTAGCAGATAGGTCAAGGTGAAGAAGGTAATGATTTCTCGGGTGATAGGCAGCAAAGAGGAGCCGGAGGAGCCGAGCCGAGTCGCCGGCTGAACCCGTTATGAAGTAAGCAATGGAAGGAGGTGTAGGTGCGGAGGGGGTCTCGTTTTGGGATATGGGTCGGTTCGGGAAGAGATCCGGATCGGGTTTGTTTGTGAGAAGGGCTCGGGAGGAGGTGGTGGTGGAAGGGAGGGAGAGGATGAAGAGTAAGGAAAATAAGGCGGTGGCTAAGATTATGTAAAGAGTGGTTTTGGTGTTGTCTTTTGAGGCGGTGGTTGTCGCGGTGACATTGGAGATACATGGCGGTGGCGGCGGCGTTTGGTGGCTGATGTTGTGCATTGTGGCGATGGCGACGGCGGAGTAGGAGGAGGAGGTTTCTGATTCTGGCAGGTGTTTTTGGTTTAATTTTTTATTTTGGGTTAAATGGGTCAGTCTATTTTCTTACCCGTACCCGTAGTATGTTCGGCTACCAGCCCAATGTTAAGTGATCGGTTCGTAGCTAGAGCGTAAGAAATTCATATTCATAGATAATATAAAATTATGCTCTTAGTAGCATCGTAACAATTTTTAAAATCATTATAACAATGCAATTATATTCATAATTTATAAACAATATAATTTATAAAAATAAATTAAGATCTTTAATCGTTAGCATTTGATGTAGTATTTCATGTTAGAAAAGTGAAATTATAAAATATTAAGGGATAAAATTGATTATCAATAAAATCATAAAAAATATCTAAAATATATGATAATTTAAAAATGATGTGGGACAACCGTGTACATTAGTCCATGTGTCGTTTTACCTATTACCACAACTGTCTTAAAATGCACAGATGCGTCTTGCATGGGATACTTGCAGAACGGAGGAGCCCTGCCGGGACCTTGCTGTGATGGGGTTCGAGCCCTGAATGGCATGGCTCGAACCACCCCGAACCGCCAAACCGCTTGCAGGTGCTTGCAAAATGCAGCTAAGAACATCCCCAACATCAAAGCTATAACTTGGCCGAGACTCTCCCGGCTAATGCGGCGTCAACATTCCTTACAATATCAGCACCTCCAAAAACTGCAGCAAGTAAATTTATCTTTCGTCCCTTAAATCTATTTATTTACAGCTCCAATATGTTTTGTTTTTTGTTTTACCTAGATGGGTGGGATTTTCATCAGCTGATCACCTTACCTTGCAGAGAGGTTCTGGTGGTTTCCTGGTTCAGTCAGGCCAAGGGATTTGATATTGAGTCCCTGACGAAATTCAACTTAGTAAGCCCATATATTTCTTTTAGTGTGCAGTTGAGTAAGAAATTATCTTTGTTCAATCCTTTTGATGAAACCCTTTATGTGGAAGAAATAAATTCATGGTCATGGATATCAGATTCTCTTGAGAATTCTGCTTATCATACTGAAGATTGGTTGGTCACGAACAGTGGTAAATATAGTTTTTCACTTATGGTTATGAGGCCAAGCATGAAGTGGCCGGGAGATTAACCCTCAAAGCAGTGAGACCATCGTAGAAATATTTTTATCCTTCGAATCAAAAGGAAAACAAAAAAAATGGTGCTTTCTGCATGCAGGTACTAAGGTCTTGACAAGACTCTTCTGATGTAGTTATGGTTCCTCTTGAAATTGATTCGGGTTGGAAAGCATCCTATGATGACCATGCAAGTTTTCTTTTAGTTTCTCTTAAAGCCATGATATCGTATGATGATAGTGAATCTATTTCTAGGGCTATATCTTTGGAAAATTCTGCTCCTTATGTGCTTAGTTTTGTCAAGATTGATGAAGTTGCAGATGCCAAGATTTTCCACATCAAATAGATGGAAGGGTTGCTGCTCTCTACTTTGGTGTTCTTACGAAGGTTGGGGGTTCTCCTTAAAGAAGATGAGTAAAATGTAGTCAAAATTACTGTCCTACGTGGTCAAATGGTACCATATCAACAGTCAACTATATTGAGAGAGATACATCAACCTATAAATTTCATTTTCAGTAAAATTTTCAAATTTAATTAAATAAAATTTAAATTACATAAGTATTTTTTTCTATCACTCAACTATTAAAAATTATATACAGATGCATATAGAGGGTGGGGACTCCTACGTTTCTCAAAAATTTTGGTCTAATATCATCTTAGGTACTTATTAATTTAAACTTAAACTTTTGTCCCATCCAATATATTAGATAAAATATACAATAAGTCTCTATTATTTAAAATTTAGGTATCTTACTTCTTTCAATATTTGATCCTAGTTCCGTCTCTTATTAGTCATTGTATTAACTAGTTATATTTTTGTTGGATTAAGACATAAATATAAAATTTTGAAGGGGTCATAATTAAAATGTTGTTGAAAATATGCAATGGATTAAGATTAATTGTAATCATTTGAAAGGTTCAAAAAGACATTTTTTCTAATTAACCAAAGGCTAAAAGGATCATAATTCAACTATTAATTTTTTTGAAGGGACTAAACATGTAATAAATAAAAACAACTTTCATTGAAATGAAATACTAATTGAAACTAAGGTTTTGACTTATTTTTAAACTACTACATAGGTTCTTCTTTGATCACAACACTAAGAAAGGGGGCTCTCATGGCAGCAGCAGCACCAAGTCCATTAGGAATCCTGTGGATATCGTCAACTTTGCTGACGATTCCGTTCTTCCTCCTCGCGGCGGCGTATCCTTTAGTGATTCCTTTTGAGGAAACGGGCAAGGCGGTAAGTCCGTGGTTGGACCGCCCGAGGCAAAGATTCCTCCGTCTGCACCTGGCAGCCATCCTCCTCCTCCTCTCTTCTTCTCCTTCTCCCCTGTAGTGAGCACTCTGGACATGAGCCGCAAACGTCTGCGATGAGTAATAAGTCGCCAAGCACTTCGGACATCGATACACACCCCGAGGATAACCGGGGAGACTATGAGTCCTACCATCATACCCTGACCCCATCATTTCTCTTTCGACATCGCTACGAACATCGATTTGGTTCATCGACGAGTTCATAGATCGTAAGAGATTCATGTTCAAGAACCGGTCAAGGTCAGGTCGGATAGAAAAAATCCCATGTTTGCTTTCGAGTCCAGAACCCGAAGCAAACGTAAGCCCCATCGTCGAGGCCGATGAAAGATAACGACACACATTGGTGACTTCACTCAGAGGAAAAGTAGGCAATGGGACATAGTTAATGACACTATGAACATGAACTCTATGGCTGATAAGACTTAAACGGGAGTCGATGGATGAGAGAAAGAACCGAGCATCCATTGTTCCGTTGCCGGGGCCTAAGCCGGTCAATGAAACAGAATTGTCAAGACTGAAATTCATAGCCATTTTGGGGGGATAAGATCACAAGAATGAAGAAGAAGAGCAAATGGAATGCAAGATATGATAGTATTGAGGGTTTGTTTCTTTATAGCGGAAAGGTGAATCCATTTTAGGTTAAAAAGAGTTTAGTAGGTAATGCCACGAGGGTTTACACTCAGCAACTCCAAAACTAATTGATAAGGGCGAATCTGCCTATTAGGATTAGTATATGGCAAGGGAGTAATTGTAAAACGTTGGCTACATTAATGGACTGTCCTTTTATAGACAATAATTCAATTTACTTTTAGTTGGAGGTAACTGAAACTCTAACAGGGACAAAAGGGTTTGAAATGTAAATCCATAATCATATAGCATTCGTATGTGGTTAAGTACATTCAAAATAATGTTCTTTCTAGTTTAATTTTTTTTTATTTATGTATTTACGCAATCATATTTATTTATATTTATTTTTCGTTTGAGTTTTTTGATTTAGTTTTCATTCTTTTTCATGCATAATATAAAGTGACTAGTTTTTTGTATCAATGTTACAAAAAATTGTCCAAATTATGTATTTAGTTTATGATGATAGATGTAAACCATTATTATAATTTTGAATATTTTCATTTTTTTTAATAAGACTAGATGCTTCCATCAAAAAATTAATTAGGGTAAATTATTTATCTGGTCACCCGCCTATTATTTAGTTTATGTTTTCGTTATTTAACTATTATTTTTTCTTTCAAAATCATACATAATGTTACAGTTTTGTTTTGGTTACCGATCGTTAAAAAATTAGGGTAAACTATGCATTTAGTCACCCAACTATCATTTTGATTCCATTTTGATAATCTAACATTTTTTCAAAATTATCACTAACGTTATGTTTTAGTTTCATTTTGGTCACCTGCTGTTAAAAAATTAAATAATGATATTGTCATGTCATCATAAGATAATGTCACATCATCATTAAAAAAACTTAAAAAATTGTCATATCATCATTGAAAAAACTTAAAAAATTATCACGTCAATAATTCTATTAAAATTTTAATAGCGGGTGACTAAAATAAAACCAAAATGTAATGTTTGTGATGATTTTGAAAAAATAATAATTGAGTGACCAAAACGGAACCAAAGTGATAGTTGAGTGAGTTAATATATAGTTTACCCAAAAATAGTTATACTGACGAGTCACCATAAGATAATATCACGTCTGCATTGAAAAATATTTTAAAAAATATGCTTCAACGTCATCGTTAGTTTTTTTAATGAAAGGTGACCAAAATAGAATCAAAATGTAGTTGTAGGTACGATTTTGAAAAAAATAATAATTAAGTGACCAGAATAGAGACTAAGTAATATGTGAGTGACCAAATAAGTAGTTTATCCAATTAATTAATAAAGTTGCATCACGCATGACATAACTAGTTGGACAGCAAAACAATCACATCATATGATGCAATTAATTCAACCCATTCCAATCAATGAGTCTAGGGCAAAACTTTGACCTCCAATTATGTTATATATTTACTCTTCCCGCTGTATCAATCCACCGGATATTCGATCGATTTCCCCTATCATGACGGCCGTGAAACTGCTAGGAGCATGGCTCAGTCCGTACTGTTGCAGAGTAATCTGTGCTCTGAAACTCAAAGGCATACCTTACGAATACGTCGAAGAAGATCTCTTAAACAAGAGTTCTTTGCTTCTTCAGTATAATCCAGTTCATAAGAAGATTCCGGTGATGGCTCATGGCGGAAAACCAATCTGCGAGTCCAGCATCATCCTTCAGTATATCGAAGAAACTTGGCCGCAAAATCCCTTGTTGCCGAATGATCCTCACGAGAGAGCAATTGCTCTGTTTTGGATTAAATTTGCCGATGATATGGTAAAATTACTAAAATCTTTGTTGATTTGTTTCTAGTTTAGATTCTGGATTTGAATTTGATAGTTGAAACTAAGATTCAATCGATCTTCTTCTAAAAATTGAATCGGTCGGTCTGTTCATTCAGTTCAATATTCGATAATTCAATCGTATAATTTCAATAAAATATAGCTCGATTCAACTGAAAATGAAAAATCCAATCGATTTGACTCCTTGCTAGGGTTTTCGATCTTAGCAATTTTATTGCATGCTAGTGTTGTTGGCTAATACATGGACTTCCGGTTAGAGTTGTATCATATAAATTCTTTTTCGATCGTACTAAAGATGATCAGAAAGAAATTCATTTTAAATGAAGATAAAAATAGAAATTTACCATACGTAGAAGTTAAATCCGTGTAAAATTATATTTTTTTTCTTTTTTGGGCACTAAAGAAACTTATCTCTATGAAAAGATATTATAGATTAAATTCTACAAGTAAATTGATTAAATCCTAAGAGGAAAATCTTTACATTCCTTTTTGATATAGTGAATTTTCTCTTGTGATTTTTTCTGGAAGTTTTTTTCATGTTAAATGTTATTATTTTTTATTTTACGATAATTTTACATTCGTTATTGTAATACGACACTTCTCTTCTAATAGACTACTTCAGTAGCAATGCTTTACCTAACCACCGGCGAAGAACAAGAGAAGGCGGCGAAGGAGTGCTTGGAGATGTTGAAAACCATCGAGGAACACGGGCTGCTTGACGGCAAGAAATTCTTCGGAGGAGACAAGATAAATATGGTGGACATTTCATTTTGTGTGGTGGCTCACTGGCTTGGAGTTATCGAAGAAGTAACGGCGCTTAAAGTATTTGAACCACATAAGTTCCCTAAATTGAACTCGTGGATCCTAAATTTCATGTCAGTCCCTGTGATCAAAGAGAGCTTGCCTGATACTGAGACGATGCTTGCTTTCTTCAAGGGCCGGAGAGAGATGGTGTTGGCATCAGAATCGAATTAGAGACTAGGGATATTTACTGCATTTGCACCCCATGCAAGTGTTGCAAGGTTTGGTAATTCTATATGCTTAACTTTGATAGTTTGTTTTGATTACTGAATTATAGAAAGTTGTAATTATATAATTAATGTTTTGAATATAATTTTTAATAAGCGGATTGCTAATTCTTTGAAGTAATTATGATATATAATTTTTTTTATAAAAATTTCTAGCTAACGTTTATAACTTTTTACAATATAACTAAAATTAAAATGTTTTTCTTTCTCTCATCTTTATTTTCTTTAGTTTGATTTTTCTCGAAATCTCTCGAAATCAACAAAAATGAAGTGAAAATTTTGATATTCTATTGTTTCGATTCAAATTGACAACTTTTTGATGAAAATAGTTTTAAAATATGCTATTCATACAAATGTTTCTCATTGAATGGATTTTCGAACACGCAAAAATAAAGTGATTAATTTTTTTATCTTAATGATTATAAAAAAATATATTGATTATGTGTTTTCTTTATAATTATAATTATAAATCCTCATTGTAATTTTAAATATTTTTTTAATAAAATTGATTCTTTTTTTCTGTAAAAAAAATACTAATTCTAAAGATGTGGTGAGAAATGAGAGAAGGAAATCTAGTGAAAGCAAAAAGAAAATGAAAAGAGAAATCTACAAACATAAATTAAAAAATGAAATAAAAAAAATCATTTTAGCTAAATTCGACTCGATCTGGCCATCAATACCTGTGCATCTCTGATTGGGAATTCATCGTCTCACGGTTATCCCTTATTGTTGATTTAATGATTTTTTTTCTTAAAATTTTAAAAAATTCAATTTAGTCCTTAATCTTTTTATCTACTTTGATTCTCAATCTTCAAATTTTTTAAAAAAGAATTCTAGCAGGTTCTTCAAATCAACAACACATATTGTTAGCTCGAATAATATATTTATATATATAGTGTAAAGTTGCATCATGCATGACATAATATAATTAGACAAATAACCATATTATTATAAATTACTCTCACCGTTCTCAGCATCCACCAGATATTCGATCTCAGCAATCTCCCCTATCATGGCGGCCGTGAAACTGCTCGGAACTTGGCGTAGTCCATACTGTTTCAAAGTAATTTGGGCTCTGAAACTCAAAGGCATACCTTACGAATACATCGAAGAAGATGTCTTCGACAAGAGTCCTTTGCTTCTTCAATATAATCAGATTCATAAGAAGGTTCCGGTGCTCGTTCATGACGGGAAGCCGATCTGCGAGTCCACCATCATCCTTCTATATATCGAAGAAACTTGGCCGCAAAATCCATTGCTGCCCATTGATCCCTACGAGAGAGCCGTTGCTCTGTTTTGGATTAAATATGCCGATGATAAGGTAAACTCTCTCCATTTTATGGGTAAACTACGTTATTCAGTTAGTCACTCAATTTTTCCGCGAAATCATATATAAAGTTATATTCTAGTTCGATTTTAATTAGTCATTGTTAAAAAATTGACGATGACATTGACGTGTCATCATAAAATAATGTCACGTCATCATTAAAAAAAATTATCACGCCAATAATTCTATTTATTTTCTAACAGTGGGTGATCAAAACGAAACAAAACGAAACGTCGGATATAATTTTTAAAAAAATAATCAAGTGATCAAATCAGAACCACGATGACAAATGAATGACTAAATACGGTAAACTACATAATTATTGTGTAAATAATTAGAACTTCTAACTAGTTGAACTTGTAATAAAATAAACATGAAGATAATTGGATAATGGTATTAGACCATTCAATTTTCACAGTACTTTAAAAAAATTAATTTAATCATTCAATTTTCAGATTTTTTTTTATTTTGGTCATTTAGACAATTAAATATCTAACGAAATACTAAAATATTGTATTTTTGAACTTTTTTTTCTACTTTCCCCCCAAAATGTAAACTCTTTTCCTTAATAATTGGAATCTTTCTCCGCTATCGATCATTATTTGTGATACAACGGATGCTAAAATGTTTTTTTTTCATCTTTCTTCTATTCAGTTTGATTTTCCTTGGAATCGATAAAATTCAAACTAAAAATTTAACTTATCTTGCTTTGATTTATAATCTCTACCATACGATTATCGTGTAATTGAAATATATTAATTTTCTTCTCCGTTTTAGTCCCTTATCATTCAGTTTTTGAAGAAAATACTAAAAAGCCAATGAATGAAAGGAATTTTAAAATCTGAGTTGAGAGAACAGTTTTAAGAACTTTTTACATAAATGTATCATAGAAATTCAATTACCATTAGACACTTAACGAACGAGAGACCAAAACATAAACGATTCAAAATTGAGTGATCGAATTGAAATTTATTAAAGCTGAACGACCAAAACAGGAATGTTGTTAAAGTTGATTGATGGAAAGTATAGTTCACCCTAATTGATGGGTCTTGTTCGTCTCGACCTACTGAGTCTGAATCTGGTGGTTATTTCACCAGAAAATATCCCAAAACCCATGAATCTCGACTGAAATATTTCAGCTTTCTCACTTTTGATCTCAAATTCGTGAACTTTAGAGCAGGTTTTGACAAAATGGAGGGCGGATTCGAACTCAAGGTGTCGAGACGAAGAAGACCCATTAAATCTAGGACTGAACGACCACCATCTATGGCGGTGGCGTTCAACCACCTTTTGTTTTTTGCTTTTTATTTTCAACTATTTTATATTAAATAATACTAAAAATGCCACATCATAGCTAAATAATTATAAAATAATTCAGAGTGATCAAGACAAGAGCTATCCTAAAGTTTAGTGAGTAAATTAGAAAAATTGAAAGTACAGTGAACAAAATAGGAGAGAGAGTATAGTTGAATGAGAAATGGTATAATTCCCCCCTAATTTTCATTGATCACAAGTGTAGTTGGCTGACACTGGAACTTCTCATCTCTCCAACAGACTCAATCAATCCCAAAGATTTATCGAACCACCGGGGAAGAACAGGAGCAGGCGGTGAAGGAGTGCTCGGAAATGTTGGAAACCGTCGAACAACATGGGCTGATCGAGGGCAAGAAGTTCTTCGGAGGAGACGAGATAAACATGGTGGACATTGCATTCTGCATGGTGGCTCACTGGCTTGGAGTTCTCGAAGAAGTAGCAGGGATTAAAATGTTTGAACCACACAAGTTCCCTAAATTGCACTCATGGGCCCAAAATTTCAAGTCAGTCCCTGTAATCAAAGAGAACTTGCCTGATGATGAAAGGATGTTTGCTTGGTTAAAACACCGGAGAGAGATGTTGTTGGCACCGAAATCGAACTAAGGCACTACAAATATTGATTGCATTTTGCCCCATGGATGTGTTGTGATGTTTGATTTGGCTTTCGGTCTATGTTCGATGTCTTGTTTGAAATTTGAGAGGATTCAAATAAAAAATACTTAATTTAATATCAACTCATTGATCAACCACGGTGATTAAAGGAAATATTGTTTTCTTTAAAGGTCTCAGGTTCGAACAATTGTATTAGTGCTGGTATGATCACACCCTAATATAGTTTAAATAACCCAAAATTTAGTAATAAGAATAATTGTCCAAGTTCATGGGTCATTTGTTACATTACAACAAAATTTATAACTATATATTAGAAGTTTTTTTGTAACCATATATTACACTAATAGTCCTTGAGTTTTTAGGACACTTGCATTTTAGTAAATAAAATTTTAAAACTTGTATTATAGCTACTAAAGTTTTAATTTACTTTTATTAGAGTCATTGTTGTCAATTGTTATTGAGAAAAGTTGATGTGATATATTAAATTATATATATATATATATATATATATATATTTAGTTTCATTTTTAGTTGCTCCGTAATGTTGATTGTAGTTAATTTCCTAGTACTATTCATTTGAATCATATTGAGGTTAAGAACCGAGGAAAGTATATCCTCAGAAGTTTTGTAGATAAACATTAGCCTTAGTTGCTATTTTTCCTCGGGCAAACATCTTTCATAATGAAATCTAATTTAGAAAGGCACATAATGCAATGTTTTCTTCTGATACCGACTTCTATCCTGCCTACGTAGACTAAACCCTGAAAGAATTGGTGGAGACTTCAAGCAAGAAATCCAAGTATGCTAACACTTTAAGACTTTGTATTTTATTTTTATTTTTTTCCAAAGACGATATAAATGAGATGCGTGTATTTTTGGTAACTGGTTAACTTAATTGCCTGAGTAAGTAGTGAATAGCTGAATGCTCACTGTATTTTTGCAGATTCATAGTGGATTTTTAAGTGCATATGATTCTGTTAGGATAAGGATTATCTCCCTCATCAAAGCGTCAACTGGATATACGTAAGCATTTCTTCTTAGTCTCTTTGCTAATGTTCCAATTGAAGCAGAAATCTAACATGTTGATATTAGTACAAAAGTTTTGCATATATCCATGTATCTTCATAGGCGATGTTTAGTTTTTATTTATGTGGGAATCTTAATTGGTGCCTTTCAAAAGTTTCTTGACTTGCCTGATTTTTATTTTTATTTTAAATTAGCCATTGAGATGATATTGGATCTCTGACGCATCTATCTTCAAGCTCTTGATGAACCTTAATATGGGATATTAGACATGTACTTTAGTATTTGGTTGAAAATAGAGCATTGTTAAGCAGAAGGCTTTCACAGCGTTCCACACTACATATTTGAAATTATAAAATACAGATTGTTTTATTCACAGCAGTTCTTTGTAAATGTTTGTGTGACAAAGAGGAACTTATGGAGCCACCGCACAGATGGCAAGTTTATGTGACCGGTTATAGTTTGGGTGGTGCACTAGCTACTCTTCTTGCTCTTGAACTTTCATCAAGTAAATTAGCGAAGTAAGTTTCTCTCCCATTCACTTAAGAGTGACATTCTTTATCTGGTCTCAATGTGTTACGTGCAATTCAAAATGCATAGAGAAACGGAGAGATTTTATTGTAGCTATTTAAGGGGAACTAAGCATATATTGATTTGGAAGGAAAAATAAATTAAATATATGTGAAAGTGTAATGATTAGTTGCCTTTTCGAGCCTCAACTAGTTCAGTACTTGAAAAATTGGTAAATCAGAGGACTCACACTGTTATTCAGATTTTTCATGAATGTGTCAAAGACTGTAGAAAGCTGAATTACACATCTCTTTTATAATTGCAAGCTTTTGGAAAATTATCTCCTCATCGTGGTCTAAAGACCTAATGATTTATATATATATAAGCAAAATGTAGTGTATTGAACTTCCAACCTCATTTGTGCTTATCAGATGTGGGGCAATCTCGGTGACAATGTATAGCTTCGGTTCTCCTAGAGTTGGTAACAGAAGATTTGCAGAAGTATATAATGAGGTAATGGAAGTATATAATTTTGATTGAAGTCAGAAAAGTGATTCTGCCGCATCATGTTATCTTCTTTTCTTTGTTAAGTATTTATCTATAAGACTTGTTTTAATCATTTATTTCCAAATACTAGGCTCATGAAATTTCAGCATTCTAGCTTGTGCTTGGATTTAAATTCTTGCTTTCTGGTGCATGGACAAATTCACATACGGGAAGATTCTAATATCAATATGCTCAATTGATCATGCTGCTTGACATCTATATATTATCTAGGAAGTTTGTCACATCATTGGTTAAGGTTTATGCAAACTGAATACATGCCTTTGCAGAAAGTTAAAGATAGCCGGAGAATTGTTAACCACAGAGACATTATACCAACAGTCCCCCGTTTGACGGGTTATTGCCATGTGGCTCAGCCTGTTTATATGGCTGCTGGAGAATTAAAAGACACTTTGGTGAGTATTTTCTTTTTTAATCAAATACATTTACTATTTCTTGTATTTTTCTTGTTCGACTGGCCAAGTTGATTTAAAATGACTGATGCTCTTTCGTCTCATGTGAATAATCTATCGTCTCATGTGACAGTTTATGCATGCATCTGCTTATAAGTTCGTATGTGATTTTTTGTTCTTAAGGAAAGTATGGAGCTTTGGAAAGATGGTTATCAAGGAGATGTCATCGGGGAATACACACCAGATGTTCTCGTCACTGAATTTGTATGTTTCTTGCTGGCTGACTCTTTTCTTTTACCTTTTTTTCCAACTTAGAAAGGGTTTTTAAATCTTGATATTTCCATGCATCGGCACACAAAAATGTCCATTATCGTATCTCAGTCCAATTTCATCTGCATATGTTCCAAGGCCTAGTCCAGGGAGATTCATTTTCTTGGTAATTTGATATGACTTTTATGCACATAATGATTGTGCCTTTTGCTGGGAAGCTCTTAGTTCTCTTATTATAGTTCCAACAGAAGTACTAGTCTGCTAGATGTAAACATCAAAACCATGTAATCTAGCTGAATTCAAGTTCATTATAGCAGTTAACAAAGATTTCTTTTGGTTTTCTGGGTAAAGTACACTAGAGGTCACTGAACTATGCTCAAATGATAGTATGAGTTTTCTAGAAAAGAAAGTTACCGAAAAAGGGTTTTACTGGAAGAGAAAAAGTCGGCTACTTTTCTCGCATTCTGTACGTATTAAAAGGAAAAAGATCAGACCTATTAAAATAGGCCGGGTTACAAAGTCATACTAGGATTTACAACAGAAGAATTATACTAGGAGTTTAATATTTTATCTAATCTAATATCTAACTTATCTCTTAAGATAAATTTGATAAATACAAGTTTAATACAAAGTAAAACTAAAGTCTACAGTATTCTATTTATACGTCTACTGCCTACAGATCGTTTTGGTCACTGGATTTTCGAAATATACAAAATGGTCATCAAATTTATCAAAATGTTGTAAAATGGTTATTACGACATTATAACATTTATAAAAGTTCGATAAAATTTAATGATCATTTTGTAACTTTTGAAAGTTCAATAACAAATGATGATTGTTTGAGTACAGTTCAATGAACGGCCTCTAGTGTACCTTTGGTTTAAAGAATTAGTAGTAGATATGCGTTGATAGAATTGTATAACACTAAAGAATTAGACTTGAAAGGCAACGTCGGAGAGTGACCGAGCTAAGAGGATGAAGGGAAGACCAAAATGGACATGATGGAAACCATTGAAAGACCTTGATATTACTGGTTTTACCCGAGCTATGATGCTAAACAGAGCAAAAGGCTCTGAGAAATGCATACATATCGTTAAGAAGGGCAGTCACGAATCTCAAACATAGACCACAAAACGGACATAGAAGATATAAAAACAAACCCTTTTAGGGATTTACACACTGTTTTACCAAGCTCGGCGGGAGTGCACTCATGCAGCACATGGAGGATTTCTACTACATCTCACTGCTAGAGGTACTACATCACAGTTGAATCACTCTTCATTTCATGACTTTTGACTACTGTTGTTCCTCCAAGTACCTTGTGATTATCAATTGAAACATGAAAAAAAGTTAGGCCCTTTAGGCTTCACCAGGTCATATGATTCAAACACTATGTCACTCTGCTAAATGTTTAAACTGGATTTCTGTTGCTTCCTTCAGAGCGTGAGGTCAAATTACCGGACCGGTGCGAGCTCAAGAAAAAAGGAGGAAGAAAGCGTGTCGAGCCGATAGACATTTTGACGACGATTCTCAGAATTTTGTAGCAGACTGCAATTGCGACAATAGGTTTAAACATCATAGTATATGATAATTCAAATTTAAACATGATTTACATTATGAGTGTATCTGGTAAGTCACTTCGATTTGAATGTGATTGTCTGTAATTATATGCGACATGTTTAAATAATTATTGTAGTCAACGGGCCATATTGGATTGGGTGTAATTGAAGCACTCTAATTGTATTTTTTTTCAAGTCTTAAATTGGTTGAAATTGGATTGGGCCATGTTTAAAGAAAGTATCCATTTTCTAACTAATGTCCATCTGAGTTGAATGCAAGTCTTTGTATTCATTATATAATTAAATGAGTTAATTGCACTATACATCTTTAGACTATGACCCGTATTGTAAATTATATTTTAATTTTGTTTCCAAATTATAATTTTCATTTTAAATTAGTCTTTAAATTAATCCTTAGGGTCATTCTATAATGGTCTTTAAACTTTTAAATGTTCTAATTTAATCACTCAACTTTTAAAGCATTCAAATGTTCAAGAAAGGTGTCAACAAAATTTGATAGATTTGTTTTAAAGAAGACATTCCTAAGACTCGCAATAGATTAGAGAACAATTTTCTATTCCTAAAATTTCCAAGTCAATGCATACAACAAATACTAGAATCAATTTTTTTTGGTGATTTAGACATTTCCAATTAATGCTAACATTCCAAAATAATTAAACACTCTTGTAGATTATAAAAAGCTGAATTTGATAGTCAATGCAACACGGTTGAAAATTACAATTCTTTTCTAATTCTTCTGTTTCCATGGTTATCTAATGGTAACATCCTTGAAGCCTTTAAGACTGAAGTTTTCGATTTTTTCACTAAAAATTCTTGTAAAATTGAAAATGTTAAAATCAAAGGTTTTTAGCTCATGAATCGACTCCGATTCAAATCTATATGACTTCTTAAAAAATCCACCTTATGGACTAAAGATGCATCAAAAGTTTAATGCATAAGCACAGTCAAAATCAAGGCAACAGAATCAAACTGTGTTAAATTCTAATGTTTAAGAACCCAAACTTGTTCGTCAAGAATCCAACAATGCGCACTACAAACTCGGGGCTTCTTTCCTATACTATATGTCTCTTAGTTCCCTCTCAGCATCGAGTGATTGCCTCCATAAAAATCCGATCCCAAAACGAGAACCAAGCAACGGCAACGGCAACGAGGGACTTCTTTATACCTTTCTCTACCAAAAAATTGGCAATTTAGATTTTGCCAGTCAATGGTTATGCGACCAGGATAAACCATTTTGCTTCTTTAAAAAAAAATTGGGTTGTATAGTCAACTCGAAATAGATGAACTCATGACCTTCACAATCACCGAAACAAGGGAAGGTAAATCGGAACCAAAAGCATATGCAAGTTTAGACATGTCTTTGCTAAGATTATGTGGATTTAGTATGAAAACCGCTTGTTGGGTCTACGTCTTGATGGCCCCCCGGGAAAGAGCTTCATGATCCATCCTAAAACCCTCTCCACCACCTACAAGGAAATTAAAATGTAGCTAGAATTTAAATGTTTGAAACTCCTGCATATCTCTGTTCAATTTTCAGCAATGGTTGAATTAAATATTGTATATATGGCAGGCTCAATCTTTCCCATAAGATGGTGTAAAACTCTTTAGTTTTATACTGATTTAGGATCATTGAACGAATGGAAAAGCATGGCCGAGATTAAACTTTGTGCATTCGCATTATCCAACTCTTTTTTCTACCCGTAAAAATCTCATTTTCAACTGTGTATCTCAATTATCCATTTGCCTTCACCCAATGATCCTAAATCAATGTAAAACTAAAGAGTTTTACATAGTATAACTGAATTCTACCTCATATATATATATACAGAGAGAGAGAGAGAGAGAGAGAGAGAGTGGTCGTACCTCATCACCCTCATCTGCATATGGAGTGACGTCATGAATCATTTGAGGCTCAGGTTGTCTAGCCGGGATATTCTCACTTGCCAGACTTTGAGCTGTCAGAAGCTCCAATCTTTGGGTTTGCAGTTCAAGTTTCCTGGACAACTCCTCGTTCAACTCCTTCATTCATCAATAACAATTATAAGGAAAAATTATAAACAATCATTCATTTAGAAATAGAAACAATCAAACATTTAATGAGCCCTTGAAAAAGTTTGGAAATCATGAATTACTCGTAAGCAGTTCAAATGGCCATATTGAAGAAAATGGAAATACAGTCAGCTGGATATACTTACAAACACCATGCCTTTGATTAACTACTTTAATTGAAAGATGTTCTTATATTCCACCTTCAAGTTTTTCAATCTTTTAGAATTTTTCTATAAATACTAATACAATGCCTAGCAAAAGAACCGAATGAAACTAAATACAAATACTTGAAAATTTTGTCAATATGTCTAGTTCAGGTATGTTACCTTCAGCTTCGAACTTTGAGATAACTCCGATGACAAAGCTTGTGTCAGTTCTTCCTTCTCCATTGTTAACTGCAACAAGCAAAAGGCTGTCCAATGATTATGATATAGTAGCCACCGACATCAACAACTTAATTTCTTCTAGATCAGATGAGTAAAACATATAAAAGCCACAAGAAAATCTGAATCACGTGAAAGAATCTACCTCCGAAATTAGGGAATTAATGTTCTGAATCATTCTCATTTGATCAGGAGGAATATAAACCGAAGAAACTTCAAATCCCCCATCTTCAGGCAGCAAGCTCAAAGTAGAGGCATCGTTACTGGTATTCAGGTCCTTGTCATCTGAAGTAGTGTCCGTGCTTGCTGCAAAAAGAAAATCAATATTAAAACAAAGGACTAAAGAAAATCAAGCAACTTTAAAGAATCACCATAACTACTACAATTGCTATCAGACTTATCATAACGGCTTTGAAGTACTGGAGTTTGATGCACTGCTACGATTACATATTTGATTCCTTTCAAGTAAATAAAAATCAAGTTTAAACAAGGATATTGATATTTGTTTAGCACAAAACTAAGTTTTCCTTGATTTTTCTTATTTGCTCTCTTTATAGGATGATATGTTTATATCAATGCATACTACGAAGCGTCAGGTTCATGCGTGATGCAAATACATTACAAAAACTCAAGAATTGAAGCAACTTATCCGCAGCCTAATAACTACCTACTCCAAATCTTGCACAAGAGCAACACTTTCAATACGTAAATAATAATACTACACCTAATCTCATGTACCCAACCAACAAGACATACCATAGCCATAACCTCAAATCAGAGCTAAAATATTATAGGCCTTCAAGAAGAAATTTTGTTCCTAAATCTCACTAAGCTTCAATTTGTATACTCAACTTATGGGGGTAGACCAATAGTATGTTTTGGAATTGGAAGTATGTTTAGCAGTTTCCATCCATATGCAACTGAATTTGGGTTCAGTAAAATAAGACATGGTAATTTATGCATGTAGAAACCTAAAAAAAAAAAAGCAATGCAATTACCTAGATCTTCTGTTGAAGTCGACATATCCTTCTTACTAGCAGGATTCTTGATAGCATCAACCGGCTTTCCACCAAGGAAAGCATCTTTAAGCTTAGACTGGAGTACCTTCTTCTCTGCGTTAAATGAATAAGAAGAATTTATAGCAAACATAGGGCTCTTATAGGAAAAAAATATAAAAACTTATATATAATTAAATACTTTAATAACAAACACCCCTGAGACTGGCATACTTACCTTCTTGAAGAGCTTCAATAGTTGACAGCAAATCCTGACGATCTTTCTCTAAGCTAGACATTTTCTTTCTGCAAGATTCAGAGTGAATATTACATCCTTACGTAATATAGAACTTAACACGAAAATATTTTAAACAGAAATTTAATCCATGATAATATTATGGAAAATGGAAGAAGCAAAACAAAAATGAAATTCCTTGTGTAAAACTAAAAATTTATGAATTCACGAAACCGAAAGGCACAAAACCAACAATAAACACTATTACGACCCTTTTTCTCTTCCTTCAGTTTTTTTTTTTTTTTGATAGGAATAAAAGGCCTCAATAAAACCCCCTTGGTGATTAACGGAACTTAAAAGTAGTTCCTTAATCCACACAAGGAGGAAAGGAGTGCCCTAGGATTCATTAAACTCAAATATAGCAAAGTAATACAAATCAATCTCCCTCAAGAGATACAAAACCAGAAAGAAACAGCCCTTAACAGAGCATAAATCAACCAATACCCGCCTTAGCTAGGACATCCGCCTCTATATTGGCTGTCCTACTAACCCAACTAATAAAACCTTCAAAAACACTAAGCTTTTGAATAATGTCTTTAACTATTTGAACATAAACAACAGGACAAGAAACCACATCCTTAATCCAGCCAACTGCCACCTGACTATCACTCTCAATAATCAATCTATCTTTAACCCTATGACGAATAGATTCAAAAAAATCTAAACCCTTTAGGATAGCCTTCAATTCCATTAAAGTTGGGGGCCCCGGACCAGCAGGCTCTTTGAAGGAGCCAAGAATCGAACCAGACAAGTCTTTCAAAATACCACCTAAGCCACTCCTCTTCCAATCACTCGAGGTAGCCGCATCCACATTAAGTTTAACAAACTCTTCCTTCAGTTTTCTTTATTTATAGTATTGTCAATCACAAATAATTTGTCCATTCATGTGGCACTTGAGATCAATCATTCACATGACATAAGCAGCAAAACTTAACACCCCAAAACAAAAACGTAATAGAAAACAGAATCCTGACATACTGATAATCGACTCTCTTATGGTCACTAACAAAAACAGACTTTGAGGTAAAATATGAATGCAAATAAAAGTGGCAGATTACATAAAATTGCATTATATGTCATCTTTAATGATTTTAACACATTGAGCAGACTTTCAGCCTTTTGTTTCTTGTATTTCTTTTTTCTTACTGCATAAACATCAATTCACCTGGCACTTGACAACAATAATTCACATGGCATAAGCAACAAAACTTAATACCCCAGAAACAAAGTGGTTTATACATAGAAAACTTAATAGAAAACAAAAGCCAAACATACTGAGGGATGGGATCTCTTACTGCATTGAGGTAAAATATGAGTCCAAATAAAAGTGATTTATTACATAAAATTCCCTTCTATGTCATATTTTAAGAATTTTAATGCATTGATTAAACACTTAACATGAAGAAAGGCTTTTTGTTTCTAGTATTTCCTTTTTGCTTCTGTATAAATATGTCATAACCACTTTAGTTTTAAATGGATAAATATATCTTAGACAATCAAAGCACTGGTTCAGTATGGAAACAATGAACATCTACAATATGAGCATTACAATCTAGAAAAAAATTGCAATGCAGAAAGCATATATAATTGGATAAACAACAAAGAAGAAATAAGAATAACTTATGCTGAAAACATAGATCACAAGTACTTTAGCAACAACATCATCATAGTAATAAGAAAGCATACTTGATGGAAGAGATTTCAGACTGTGAGTTCTCCAATTGCCTCTCCAATTTTAGTTCATTCGACCTTAATCTCAGTGCCTACAGAAAGGATATTAAAAAAAAATTAATCTAGCAGGTGACAGTTTACTCGTGTCAACAGCTTTACACAAATATATTTAATGGAATAAACTCCAAATGCCAATAACATCTAAAACAAGCAAATTAACAGAACAAATCAATATAAAAAAGGACAAGAGAGCCACTAAAGTTAAGCTGACACTTAAAAACATTCCATCTCTAATACATGTCCAGGAAACACTCTTCGCATGTAGTACATATTACAAATATGCATACATAAACATGGCAGTTCGCAAATCTCTCTGCATTATTGTCTAGAGAGAGATAAGTTCTGTAATGAATAAAATGATATTAGAAAAAGAAGAAAAATCTTGACCCATTAAAACATTTGTTACCTTCTCTTCCAAACCAATGACTTCAGAAGCCAATATATTGGCGCGTTCATCAGCTGCATTACATTCTAGTCGTGCATTTGCATATTCCAATTTAAAAGATTCGAGCTCTGCCTGCAAATACCAAGCAACATACATTACAAGAAAACAGAGATGAGAGTATACTGAAATAAAATGTAAAATAAAAAAAATGAATTTGTGGCAAGCTTCCTCACCCATTTGAACATTATCAGACAAAGAACACAAGAAAATAAAATGTGGATCAGCATATATACAGCATAGCATTTTAAAATACAGCACAAACCATTACAAATGGACTTGCAGATTGAATCCATGAATAATAAACAAACTCCAACTTTAAGCATCATATTTATAGATTCAAAGTTGTAAGCATTTAACCTAAAACGAATTGGCAAATAAAACCAATACAAACAAAGGACTTACTAATTGAATCCAGGAACAATAAACAACCTCCAACTTTAAGCATCACTTATATAGATTAAAAGTTATTAAGCATCTAACCTAACACCAATTGGCAATAGGTGAAGAGGCCCAACCTGAATATAAAACCAAAAGAAACCCTATATTTAATAAACGTGGAATAACACTACTTAAGGTCCCTTCACGTGCAGATCAAAAAGGGCCTCCACAAAGACAACACCATGAGGGATTCCTAGTACTGCATTTTCAGGTTAATAGGTACAACTCAAGATGCAATAGACAGCAGTAGATATCTCAATTTTAAGATAATTTATGAAAGAAGAAACAAGTCTAAATCCATGTGCGTATGTGCACACGTGAAACACGCCATACAAACACCATTGTATTTACTATATGATATAAAGCTGTACGCAGTTGCATGACATTCGATTATTTCTAACAGCTTGAACTGACTACCAGTACCTAAATACAACAAATACTAACCACTTGGGCCTTGATTTCTTCCTGTAAGTGCTCCATGTCAGATTTTAGCTGGTTAACAACACCTCTCTGAGGAGAAAAGTCAAATAATTAAGAGATTTTTAAGAATGATTTAGAATAGTAGTTGGGACAATGAAATGACATTTGAGTGCCCTTCATAATTACGATGAAGAAACATGATGAATTGACAAACAAGCATATCATGACCATGACATGCTAGTGATGCTGCTAATCTAATATCTGGAAGCACACCTGTTGATTATAACTATCTGTCAATGATGAATTTTCAGAAGCCAAAGATTCTGCTAAGGCACGTGAGGCCTCAAGAGCTCGTTGCAATGAAAACTTCTCCTGAGTCAAATCTTCAATATGCTGCAGAATAAGACTAAATAAATTAATAAAGACAAAACAATTTACAGAAAAGGTCAATAAAAAAACCATTTTCACAAACAATATATGAAAAACTATAGTTTTCTACATCAAAAATTATCTGGTGAGTGTATTAGAAACTTCAACAACAACATTTTCATCTCAATGGCTCTTTTTCTTTGACCAGCCATTTATAGCAGCTCATCCCTAAGGTACCAACATGAAATTAAGGCTTGAAATACGAAAAATTCCATTATAACTAAAAAGCTCAAGGGACTCCTCTTGCTTGCCTCTTAATATCCAAACCTATCAGTTCCCAAACCAAACAACATCCTACTCCAGTTCATGCACGCCAAAAGACAAGATGGTGAACACAAGACAGAGATCTAAGAATAAAATATACTTATCCATTATTTTGCTATTTCACCACGGATAAACAATAAGTTGATAAAGGAATCAGCCTTATCCCTCAACTAAACTCTAAATTCCCAACCTAGATTTTTCACTCTGAAACTGAAAGCAACATCGTATATTTAAGCACATTAGCCTGGTGAATGACAGTCCCTTTTTCTTTTGCATTCTGGACACCCATATACCTTTCTTCTCCAGTATATTTCAAACAACTACATAGATCCATATACCCTATACAGCTATAGGAATAAAACAATTCCATAGTTCTTATGCATATTCACAGAATCACATATACTAGTAGAAAATTGCATATACATTGCGGAATGTCAAATTACATCAGACGAGTTAAATATAAGCTTGGATACCACATGTCCCTCAGACATCAAAAAGTGCACTTCAAAAAATGTGTTTTAATGTTATTAAGGAAATCCTCAATAATAGAAAATATAAGTACCTGCTCCAAAGCTGCAAAATCCTCATTCTGTTTGGTAGAGTAGAATTCATGCTTCTTCTCCAAGATATTCTCATTACCAACATTCAGCTTCAAGAGGTCACCATTATTACTAGCAGGAGCTGAAAAATGACCAGAATCCTCACTGACACTAGGAAAACCGGGGAACCCAAGCTTGGAGTAAGTTCCCACATTTCCACTCTCTGTTGATGGTTTCTCAAATGGGGTTGATCCAATGGCATTACTACTGTTAACTTGTGAACTGTGGGGGGCAAATGCATCCTTTTTAGGTTGATTATGTTGAAAAAGAGACCCAGAAGAAGCTCCGGATGCATGAAGAGAATCAAGGAAAGATGGGCGAGATCTCCTGGAACTAGTATCACTTGTGACAGAATGCAGTGGCGTGTAACTTGGGGAACTTCTGGCATCAAAACTTAACTCTGATGACCCAGATGTTTGTATGGATGGAACATGCAAACTTGGAAAACCAGTTGATGAACTACTGAATTTTCTTTCTCCAAAATCAGAAATCATAGCTTCCTCAAATTCTGCTGTTCCTTGCAAGTTCTGCCCAACTTCACGGATAAATCCTGTTCCACCTGAGGTGAATTGAGCAAAGTCTGCAATTAAACCACAGAAAATGGCATGCTGTGTTAGTTTCCTAGCAAAACCAAATATGCTGAAAACATAGATATATAGACAGAAATTCCATTCATATACTGTATAAAACAAGTATATCCAAAACAATTATTCAACATTACCTTCATATAAAGATGGACCATGGCTACTACCTAGCAAGCTGCCTTCACTTGCCTTGCTTTGCCGTGAATTCTGAGATATTTTACTAACAAAATCTTCAGAAGAAATAGGATTCAGATTTGTTGGAACCTTCAAATAGCCGTCTTCTTTTGACTTGGGTTCTTGAAAGGCATTACGCATATGTTCTGTCGGTAGGCTATCATTGAACAATGGTCCAGCATTATACGAAGCACCATATTTCTCATTTTCTTGACTGGTTGCATGTGTAAGTGCTTTTGTAGAAGATGAATTATAATCATTCGCTAAAAAGGATGGTAAAGCATGCATGTTGTTTGAGTAAACTTCAGTTGTTTTATAGTTGTTAATTATTTTTACAGAAGACAGATCGGGTCCATCAGATGTACCCGCACCACCTGATTCGATAACCCGTACTTGTTCAGTTTCTAATTGTTGTTTATCATTTAAGCTAACATTGGAAGCTTCAGCTTGGGTGGTATTTGCTGCCTTCTTGGCTTTCTCAGCTGCTTTTTTCTTACGAAATTCTTCAAGCTGCAAGAAAGACGAAGGTATGAATTGTAACTGTACATGGTAAGTATACTCCACAGAATTATTTGTTCATTTAAAAACATATAACTGATAACTGATAAACTTTATTGTAGGCAAAATCCAAGTAATATTATACAAAATCCAATCGACCAAGGGGATTATTTAGGAGGATATTAACTTATTGAACTATGTAAAGAGAGTGCAGCTTCCCAAGACAAAACATACAACTCTACGATGGGAGTTCTTTTTGTTTTGTGGACCTAATTAATATGACGAGAAGGACTACCAAAACAGATCAAAAGAACAGCTCTAAACAACCAGAACAGCTCCAACCCATCACAAAACAGAAGTATCGATAATACACATTACTCGGGTGCAAAAAGCATATCAGCAACGCTAAACTGCAATGCTAGCAGTTAGGCAACTGCAATTCATTCTTCTCTGAAATCACAGCCTATAAGTGTCAAATGAAGCTTCTTCATCCTTTCCGGCTTGAATACAAACAGTAGCATGGAGTGAACCGTAATGAAAAAAAATAAACTCTCAAATTCAATTTAAGAAGAAAAACAAAAGAAAACGGGACAATTTTTTAGCTCCAATGACATCACATTACAGTTGCAAAGATAAGATTTAAGGCATAAAAACATTTAAACTTCCAAAAGGTCTCATCTGACAAAATAATTGATCCCATATACCATCAATTCTAGCCATGATCAGCCGAAACATTGCAAAACAATGTAAATTTACTACAAATCATACATGAAAATACAAAAATCTACCTCAATTCTAGTTCTATTCTGAAATCAATATCCTAAATAGATGACCATATATGCCCAATAAATTTAATGAGTAACAAGATCATTGACCAGATCCAAAATCATATCTCAAAACAGAAACCAAAAAAAGAACAAAGAATCAAAATCAATCAATATGGGGGGGGGGGATTAAGACAAAAAAATGTACCCGTCGCTTCCCAGCTTCTAAATGTTCTTTCTTCCGTGAACTAGGCAAGACCTGAGCCGACGCCATTCTCAAAGACCCCGTTCAAAATCTCCTCAATTAACGATTCTAACCCCAAATTCTCACCCCCATTAATCCACCCAAAAAAAACAACAAAAAAAACTGAAATCAATAAATTCTCAAGATCAGCGACAAAGCTTCCAAAAAAACCCCCGCCCACTCTCTTCCCCCGCGAAGCAGATCAACAAACACAAGATACGATAATTGAGCGATAGAAAATTACGAAACAATTTGCAACGGTAGGAGGAATTTCAAAATCTTATGAATTAAAACAAAAAAAAAAGCTACAATTAAAAGGAAAAAACAAATTGAAACAAACAGGAAAATGGAGGCGGGAGGTCCGATTAGATCAGAAAAGGGAGAGCTGGTTTTTATTTATTTATTTATTTATTCATTATGAAAGCGTGGGGAAAATATTTTCCGTTTTTATTTTTATTTTAGATTGTTTTTCAAATTTAATTATAAATCTCTTCAAAATTAAATTTGTTTGGTGGTGTGGAACTGATAATCTTACTCGCAAGCACATTAAAAACAATGTACTACCCCCGGTCCCCACATTCCTAAGCTTGACACGTTTAAACGTGAAGGTTTAATATTTTGGCATACTACTAAAATTAGCCCTCAATATTTATTAAAATGATCATTTTAGTCCCTTTTTTTAACTTTTTTATCCTCGAACTCTTTATTTTAGAGCAAAAAAGCTTTTAATGTTAGTCTGAATAGTCACTTTGACTCTTATTTTTTGGAGCATTTTGGTCCCAACATTTTATTTTTGGGGTAAAAAAACCTCTATTTTGGAGTGTAAATTGTTTGTTAACTAAAAGTTTCCATCCATGGAGGGGCCTTTTTGCCTCAAAATAAAATGTTGGTGGGAAATTTTTTTCGAAAAATGAATAAGATTCAAAAAGGCTATTTTGAGTGACGTTGAGGGGTAATATTAGCTCCATGCAAATATTTTTTTTAGTATTTTTAAGTTTGGCACGTTTTAAACGAAATAAAAACTTAAGTTTAATGATGATTTTGAGGGGAAATAGTTGAATGATAAAAAAATCGTAGAAATAGTTGGGTGAGCAAATATATAGTTTACCTTGTCTTTTTTAACAAAGTTAATGATTTGGTACAAAATGAGATAACGACTTAAATTTCAGTGAGCGAAACATCCCGAAATTACTTTAGGAGATAACTCGACACAAAAATATTTAATTTAAGAGATGATAATACAAAAATATATCCTAGTGAGTCACATATACATGGATAATAAATCAATTGGTATATTATTTTTTTGAAGAATTGATATTTGTTTTATTGATCAATTAATTTAAATCGAATGTTGTAAAAGTTTATTATGTCGAAAATCCTCTCAGTTCAATTTACTCCATTAACAATCTCTCAACTCAACGTGCCCCATTTAGAATGAAATTATAATATTTAGTAGTTTGAGATTAATTTAAAATGATAGTCATAATTTAAGGATTAAATCAGAATGTTTAAAAGTTCAGAGACCAATTTAAAATAGTCATAGTTTAGGTATGAAATCATAATATTTAAAAATTTAGTAACTAGTTTATAATAAATATCATAGTTTAAGGATATATGATACAATTAATTCAAAATTAAAATTATCCATCAAACAAAGATAGAAGATACATGATAAGACCAGTAATTTTAATTTACAAGACAATCCATTTAAGAATATCATTTGACAAGAACAAGTACTCATTCTAGGACCCTTTCATTTACAGGGATTTCCCCTAAAAGCCATCCAATTTATAAAAAGTGCAAACCATCCCTGTAAATGAGCTAGAACCAAGCCAAACTATTTAAATCAGACCTTCAAAGCAATTTTCTGAGCAGCAAGTGCTTCAGCTTCGAGTGTCGGCTCATACAATAGTGTAGTTTCCGCAAGCAATGATGTCACAACGTACGGATCCATGTTCGAAGCCGGGCGTCGGTCTTCCAAGTAACCTAACAACGAAACAACAACATTATCAAATTTCCTGTCAACAAGTTATAGTTCTTAACCTCCATAATTGATTATCCAACTTAACAAGATCTGTTCACTAGTTTCATTGATGGTAGTACCTTTTCCATTCTTCTCAGTGTCACGCCCAACTCGGATTGAGCAGCCGCGATTAGCCACACCCTGCAAGTTCGAACCCAAATTTTTTGTACGGGCATTAAAGAAAGCATCTAAAGTTTTCCAATGGCTTCCATTGCAAGGCATAGATATCTCATGAGACTTACCCATGAAAACGTGTCGATGCTGGCTGTTTCATGCTTTCCTGTCAGTCTTCTCTCGTTTCCTTCACCATAGGCACTGATATGCTCCTTGTGGCGAAGCGACAGATTCAGGATTGCTTTCTTTATAACATCAAAGCCTCCTTCTTCCCTCATGCTCTTCGTACTGCGTTAAGAAATACGTTTTGTTGTAATTCGAGAAGTGAAACTATACAAATTCACCATAGAATGCGTATAGCTCCCAAAGTTGATAATAAAACAAAGAAACGTCAGTTATAAGACCTGTAATTGGTGTGGCATCCAGCACCGTTCCAGTCACCCTAGCAAAAGGTAAACAAATTGAGCAAACCCTCTGATGGACTAATAGTAAGAATCAAACATTGCGGAATGTTACATTACCTCGATTGGTTTAGGATCAAGGGAGAGAACAACGCCGGCTTGTTCAGTGATTCTCTATAAGAATAGAGGAAAGTATTGGTAAGTTATTTGGTTGATTGACACACAGATGTTGCAAAGGTCGGAATTTTGCAGTGGCCTCCATTAACGAAAGCATGCAGAGAAGAAATACCTCAAGAAGGTATCGGGAACACCAGATATGATCTCCGGCTTCGATGCCAACACTTGGACCAACTTGATACTCCCACTGCATAGTAATTCACAGAATCAAAATGGCGATAACCAATGAACAAACAGGCATGAATGCAGCAGTACTTCATTTCTGTTAGCAAGATGAGGACACGAAGGCAGCAGACCTGGCCAGGCATAACCTCCCCATTGGTTCCACTGATGTTAATTCCGGCATATAAGCAAGCTTTGTAATGTGCATCCGAGATGTCACGCCCGAATGATTTGTCAGCTCCAGCTGCACAGTAATAAGGACCCTGAATTTGGCATCAAACAACCATGTTAATGAATAAGTTCTTGTAAGAATGCATTATTAACACATATTTACAGACCTCTACAAGTTTTTTGCTTCCGCTTAAAAATCAAGTCATATCGTTACCTGAGGACCAGGGTAGCCTCCAACAGGCCAGCCCAAAGGCCATTTCACATTTTGTTGAAGTAAAGTGTACTCTTGCTCGATCCCAAACCTAATCAGAATAAGGGTGAACACAGGAGTACGATATAGTTATCGAACAATCCAAATTTAAACAAAGAATAAGATATTTAAAATAAATGTAATCCATACCATGGTACTTCATCTACCACCTTCTTGCTGCTGAAAATCTCAGCAGCTCTGGCGCGCTTGTTTGTGGGAATGGGTTCACCGGCTGGTGTGTACGCATCACAAAGTACCTTTTTGAAACACATAAGAAAAGTATTAACCAAACTATATAATTTACTTACAGAGCTTTCAACAATTAGTTAGAAAACTTTAGTTACACAGCTTTGATGAGTACCCACCAAGATATTGTTACCTCCTCGGAAAGGATCCTTAAAGATTGCTTGAGGGCTGGATGAAGTTTTCAGTCAAAATGGTGTTCTGATGATGACAAGCAATAAAGAAACTTTTAGATTTCTTTTGAAAGGGCTTACTATAAAATAACTTCACTATCGTCTCCGGGTGCTTGTCCGGTACTTGATCCATCGTAATTCCACTTGGGAAGCTCGGACGGATGTTCAACCGGCTTTGATATTGTCTGCAAGTTGTAATAAGGCCCAAAGAAACATGAGAGACAACTAAATACCAGATTGAAAATCATAAAATTTCAAGTTCTAGTAATTTCCTTACCCTGGACTTGCTACGCATATCGATTCCACTGCCTCCTATCCTGTTCCAATTCAGAAACAGCAGTGATTACATAATGCTAATCTATGTTGCCGAAGTACCTTGTTTGACACATATTTTATTCGAAACATAGATAAGACGTGTTAGAAAGAAGACGTACCAGATATATTCAGCAATGATCTTGTCAGTGTATGGAGTGATATCCATGTTTAGAAACTTCTCTAGCCTGTTGACAGTGCTGTTCTCAGACAAGGCGAGCACTCTAAATTTGCCAGAACTCTTAGCTGCTCCTTTCCTGTTCTGTTTCAGCATCAAAGGACTCCACATTTTCGTCGCAATGGGACTTCCAAAGGTCGAGGTCTTCGGTAATCTCATTTGCCATTGAGTCGAGGGTGCTAAAATCTGTGCCATTTCCCCCTTCTCCCAACCGAGAGGAATCAAACAAGTATAACAAACAATTTCAACTTCAACACGTCAAAGTTTTTAATGCAGATTATGCAAGAAGAAAAGGCCTTCAAGTCATTCTCCTATTCCTACACCGAAGAAGATAAAAAAACGAACGATGGTAAGTATATAAAAAGACCATTTTCCTTGCCTGTTCAACTCATGGTCAGACTAAATCTTGGACTGCAAAGGATTTGTATCCACAACCTTCAGCTTAGTGGATCATGTACAAGCCTTAATGGATAGGGACTAGACCTAGTGGTTTATGCTCTCTCCTTGATGAGCGAGCTGCTGGTCCAAAGCTCCAATTTCTGACCACTGGTTCTTTACCAGTAGGAAAACTTCATTGGTTCAATAACTGCTTAGTGTCAAATGACTGGGGGGGACCAGTCAAATAACACCCCTTCTTACAATAAACAAAAGGTTGAACACTTGTTGGGAAACAAGAGAGGCACCCATGGTTCAAGATCCAACAACTCTGGATCAGATCCTAGCATCTAAAAAGTAGACTTCTAACGTGACCAGGGATGGATCAAAGGGTGCTGAGGTGTGGTCGCATCCTCTGAAAGTTTCAAATTCTCATATAATTTTAGTTCCTTTTTTCTATTGATAATCAAATTCCACACCCTTAAATTTCTAACACAAGTTACTGAATTCACACCTTGACATAAAATCCCGTGTTCGTCCACGTCACTTTGAATAACACCAACTCACATTAGTAGGTTAAGACTCATTAAATACGACCATATATAATTCATGTACAAGTGAAAAAAAAAGGTAGTGATTACTACATGATCATGTACTCATAAAGTCATTTGATACCATAAGTGCATAATGTGAAGCACAAGATTACAAGACATAAATGGTTAAAAAAAACCTTCATGCTTAACGACCCTCAATGGAAAACAACACCGATATGAAGAGAGAACTGACCTGGGAAGTGCCTGAAAAATGGACTGACAAGGAACCAGGAAAATGGTTTTTGCCTGGGATTGGCCGTAGATGGAGAAGAAAGAGAGAAAGTGGAGTGAAACAAAAGTGTAAACGAGAGGTGGTTGATAGAGAAAAGGAGTTGTCTTTGGCTTGAACAGATAGGGATATGTTATGAGTGGAGGAAATTAGCGTTGGGGCTCTTTGGTTCCACCATGGGGAAGCTTTGGCTATACTTCAATTTTTCTGGATAATTATATGCAGTGCTTGTCTCATTCATGTACTTGAAAATACCTCATATACAACACTCTTTCTAGATCTTTATCGATTCTGTATGATTGTTGTTATGAATTATCTGATCTTTACTCCAAAATGACATTATGCATATGATATCAAGACTATTATAAGTGATTATATTCATTTACTCGTGAATTAGATTTATTTTAACATTTATTAACTCGATCATATCGATAAATTATACAAAATTAATAATCTATCTATTTACTAATTGTCTTATCCAACAATCGTGTGATCTCAAATACGAGATTATGAACTGTGAGTGGAAGATCTCATATGACATAGGAAAAACTAAGATCCAACCTCATAACTCAATCTTATATATAATATTATAAAATTTATTAAATCAGAAATTGATTTTAAAATTTTATTTAGATGAAATATCGTACCATCCATTTGACCTGATTCATAAGACCATATTTGCTCAGATGCACATATCATATTACCTACACAAACCCCACACCATTCTTGGCACATCACTAGAAATTGCTCCTCCCATGACTCAAGTTCTCTTCCATAGCTCACACTGGAGTAGTCATGGTGGTATTAAGGCAAGAGCCATCACATTTCTATTTTCTTTCTCTATTTTATAATATATGTGTAGACACCCGTTTTTGTCCGGGTTTTTTATCGTTATTTTATTATTATTATCATTATTTTTTATTAATATGTTTATTAATTACATATTACAATTTTTGCAGGCCAAAGCCCAATATAATGCAAGCCCACTATCAGCCAACCCATACCCATCACTCAGCAGCCCGATTGCAAACCCTAACCTTAGGGTATCAACATCCCAGCGCCGCACCAACATAGACCATTCGATCTGGACCCATTCAACGGTCCAGATCGATGGTAAATAGGGTTTCACAACCCTAAGCCAATCCAGCCGTTGTGCCTCTTCAACATTCCAGTAGCCGTTCAAGCCAACAGCCATCAAGCCACTGCCGCCAGTGAGGTCCAGTTTCCCAGTCGACGAGCCATCGTCGAAAGCTTCCCGAGCCGATCAGAGCCCATCCCTCAAGCAGTCAACAATGACAACATACCAAATCAATCAGCAAATCAGAGAAAAACCCCAATAAAAAAACAAAAATAAATCTAAATAAAAAATCCCGAAAATCCCGAAAATCCGGGATTCAATCACCCATCACTCAGCAGCCCGATTGCAAACCCTAACCTTAGGGTATCAACATCCCAGCGCCGCACCAACATAGACCATTCGATCTGGACCCATTCAACGGTCCAGATCGATGGTAAATAGGGTTTCACAACCCTAAGCCAATCCAGCCGTCGTGCCTCTTCAACATTCCAGTAGCCGTTCAAGCCAACAGCCATCAAGCCACTGCCGCCAGTGAGGTCCAGTTTCCCAGTCGACGAGCCATCGTCGAAAGCTTCCCGAGCCGATCAGAGCCCATCCCTCAAGCAGTCAACAGTGACAACATACCAAATCAATCAGCAAATCAGAGAAAAACCCCAATAAAAAAACAAAAATAAATCTAAATAAAAAATCCCGAAAATCCCGAAAATCCGGGATTCAATCACCCTAAATCAACAACCCATAATTTCCCTAAGCCTTAGATATCATTATCACCGAAAGAACCCTTAAAAGTCCAACAGGCAACCATTATGAAAAAAGGAGAGGATTCGGTGAGAGAGAGGGCATTCGGGGGGTAAAAAAAAAAAAGAAATAGAAAAGAGAGAGAGCCAAAACTTACCAAGAACGGGTCACTGTTGCTTCATCGGAGGAACTGGGCCATCTTCGAAGGTAAATTCCCACCTTTGGGGGGGGTTCGGGTTCAAGTTGGTTGTGGGAAGGGGAAGAGCTTTAGGTTTTCAAAAGAGAAAGAAGGAAGAGAGGAACTTAGGGTTTATGGGTGTTTGTTTTAAGAGCCGACCGCCGCTGGAAACGCCGTGGAGCGGCGGCTGTTCGATGGGTTCGGGGAGAGAGTTCAGAACTCTCTCCTTTCTTCTTTTCTTTTTTTTGGGGGCAGGAAGCAAATGAGAAATATGAGATGAGAAAGCTTTGGGCTTAGGGTTATACATCTCCCACGAAACGACGTAGTTTCAATGGGGACCGATCTGTAATTTCATCATTTGGGTTAACTACTCTTTTGGTCCCTGATGCTTTGTAACCGTATTATTTAGCCATTAAATGAAGTTTCATTTATTTGATTTCAGATTCTGATGTTTCCTTATTTATATTTTAGTCCTTTTATTATTTGTTAAGTTATTTTTGTTAATATTTGACATTGGTCACTATATTTGTGAATATATTATTTTAGCCATTGGCTTGTGTATGGTTTAATTCCTATTTAGTCTTTTAGGTTTCAGTTTTTCTATTTGAGTCTCCTTTTTATTTCTTGTTATATTTTCGTCCTAACATATGTGTTGATGTTTATGACAATTTTTATATATCAAGCCTGGAATTTGTGAAATGTTTATTTCAGTCCTTAAATTTTCTGTAATGTTAGTTTGGTTTTATGCCTATTCAGGTTTATTGATTTGTGATTAATTTTATTTTTTTTTTGATCATTGTATGTATATTAATGGAATTTATTAACATTTATGTTTTAGTCTTTAAACTGGGTTGCCTTCTATTTTAGTCCATCTTTGTTCTTAGTTTATATTTTCGATGAGGTTTATGATTTTGGTCATCTGTTTTGCATCCTTTTCATTTCGGTCCTTTATGTTGGCTTGTGGGTTCGATTGGGATTAATATTTGATTTAGGCTTAAATTTTCTTTTAGATTCATTTTAGTCACTATCCTAGATATTATAACATTTTTGGTTTATATTTGGTTCTGGCTTCAATATTTATAAATGTTACATCTTAGCCACTGATTTAATATTTCATGTATGTTTCTTTGATATTCGAATCTGACCATCCCATTTTTTAAAATACTTTATTTTAGTCCTATTAATGTATGTTATGTCATTTTTGTGAATATTTGACTTTTGGACATTATGTTTGTAATAGTTTCATTCTAGTCCTAAGTTCTTGTGTTGTGATATTTTGTGGATGTTTGAATTCAGCCATCATATTTGCAAATGTTCTATTTTGGTCACTGTCTGACATTTTATTTAATTACTTTTTGATCCTCCATGTTTCTGTGAAATTTCAATTTAGTCATAAGCTTTACTTTTGGGTTATTTTCACTTCTAGTATTTGACTGTTTAATGTTTGTGATATGGGCTCTAAATTATTTTTATTTTATATTTAGTCCTTTAAATTTCGGTTAGTGCTATTTTGGTCCATTAACTTTCTGTTTTTTGCTGTTTAGCCCCCTAAGTTTCTGTTTCTATTATTTTAGCCCCTTAAATGTTTTATATTTATTTTGGTTTGTAATATTTACTAATTTATTTTTAGACATTTATGTATGGATGTGTATTTTACTCATTAGTTAATTATTTGGATTATGTAAATAATGTTTTCAATTTCATTTAATGTAAATATTTTATTTTGTATTTCCAATTACATTTATTTTCATTATATCTTTATCTATGTAAGAAATATTCGATTATATTTTCAAGAACACGTATGTGTAGAATGGGCGTGGAAACTACCACTTGATCGAAGTGGTGTGATCCGGTACGGCATTTTAACAACATAGAAACTTGAAATAAGTCGAGTATATTTTGCTAATTAATTTGTGCAAATGATGCAAATGTGTGTTATTTTAAATAGTAATTTATTTTATTTCATGTAAATGTCAATTTCAAAATTTGCATTTGTATTCAATTCACATTTTAGTTAATCAATTTATTTTGTTGTATGCAAACATCAATTTTATTTATATTCGATTCACATTTTATCAAGAGGGAAATATTCTTTATGGATGAGAAATAGTCGAGTTAGCTTTCCCCGATGGAGGATTGCTAATTTCGAGATTTCATTTCGAGTTAAAGAATTTTCTCTAATTATTTAATTCGAAGCAAATTAATCAACGTTCGATAAATAGATCGCATTTTAACTTTATATTCGACTCATAAATTCCACCATTTACAACGATGTGTAAGCGACACAGTACCAATTTTGGGCGTTGCGGGGGTGTTTACCCTTCCCCGCACGTAACCGACTCCCGAATCCATTTAAATGAATCTTTGGTAACGCAGACCGAATCTTGTCTTAAAAAATGATTTTTCTTAAAATTGTTTTAAAAGACGTTTTTAGGTATTCGACCTACCTAACCCAAAGGTTGATGGCGACTCTTTTTAATTTTATTCAAATCAATTCAAAATCACCCGATTTTTCCAAATTAAAGTCATAGTCGTTTTTTTTAAATAATATTAAATTGTTTTACCTAAAAAATGGTTATGACAGCTTGGCGACTCCGCTGGGGATTTTTTTTAGAGAGTCAAGCTGTATGTCGCTTACACATTGTCGTCTTGGTGGAAATTATGATTTCTAGTTTTAGTTAATTTATGATCCGTTTATTGAAATTTTTAATTACTTCGTTTTTTTCTTCGTACTAACATTTTATTTTTGGCTTTCAGCTTTGTCAGGATTTTATCATTTTTCCTTGTTTTGTTTTCCTTTTGGGTCGAAGGTAGGTATGTTCCTCCTCGCACACATCACTCGCATTTGCATAACATAAGCTCTAGACACGAGCTTCGATCCAAATTAGTCGGGGTGATTGCTTTACTCTCGTAAGGATTTATTCTTCGTATGAGTTTTAGCAAATAACCCAGGGGATACATACCTTATACCTTCGTAGGAATTTATTCCTCGCACGGGTATAAGACAGTGAATCCCCTCGAATTGAACTCGTTCCGTTTGAAACCTGTAATGGGTGAGGATCGAGGGTCTGGCAGCCCAATGGGGCACCGACATCAAGGACAATTCGAGTCCCTTTTTTCCGTTAGAGCCGAAACCAAGCATATAGTGAATCGTCGAACGATCACCCTAGGTATAGTCGTACCGAACCTTTGTCCGTTAG